GAGAAAGATTTGGCTATACCAGGTGTTGTGGTCCCTTTTTGATGTGACTTCCCTTTCCTGGCAAAATTGCCAGAAATCAATGTCATTGTAATGCGTTATTACGGGGACAGTTTCACATAGCGATTTCAAACTGACATATCTTGAAAATGCATTCACTGTTTATTGTTGGATTTTTAATGAATTTCGATCTTGTACGTAATGAGTTCTTTTCACATGGAAAATTAATTTTGCACCTAGGTTGACTTTTGAAAATTTTGATAATCAAGAAAAGTTTATTGAACTTTGAGATGTGTTTCAATCTGACATCAAAGTAAATTACTAATTGTTGAATTTATTTAAATAAAATATTTCCAATTTACAATACATTATCATTTTTCGTATTTGACAATGAAGGATTGGCCACATATATTGTACTACCTTAATTCAGATTTATTGATAAAACTTCTACGCGTTGAATCACCAGAGAGGAGTCAAATTGAAGTCATTACATTTCCCTGAATTTTTCTCATCACTTTTTCAGATCTGGTCATATCCTGCACAGTCTGTTGATCATATGACTAAAAATGACAAAATTATTTCATCCATTGTCAGAGAACTCAAGAAGGATGCTGTTTTACAAAAATTATGGGATATATATTTATGTAAGCAATGCATCTTAATGCATATTTGATGAATTATCAACAGCATAATGGTGATTTTAAACGTCGTTTTAGTTATTTGTTTGTTTATTCATGCAGGAACTTTGCTGGACATAAAAATCAATCAGAGACAGAAAATCAATAACTGATATTGTGTTATGTTACTCGTTCGTTATTGCACCGAATGCATTTTCAGGTGAGTGTTATTAATTTTTTTTAAACGGATGTTCAAGATTTTACAACGATAACAAAGACAACAACCACATGTTAATGTGAAATCAATAAAAGTTTTGTTGTCCGTGTATAATTATTGAATCTCTACCATTTTGCTTTTAATGTTTTTTTTTTGTCATGTAATTGTATTGTGGCATATTAATGAACCATTTTGTGATACAGTTGACAAAATTACCAGCTGTTTCTATACTTTAATTAGAAGGCATCCTTATATTGGAAAATGTAACAATAGAGATTGTTAATTGCCCTGTACTAAGTGACCTGTGTGTTACACTGCTGTAAGCTTGATCCTGTTAGTCAGGCTCCGAAGCATATTTGATTGTGAATCCTTTTCCTTAATTGATTGATGCTTGTGCAAATATCTTCATTGTGAAAACTTCAAAATAATAATTCAATCTAAAACGATATATTTTAGTATAGACTGGCAACCAGCCTCTAAGTTTTTGTTGAGAAATATGTGCCACATATTTCTACACACTTATCTCCCCTTTAACTTTGAAAATCTTCTTCAAGACTGTATTATGCTGAAATTATGGTCAAAAATTGATTTAACAAAAGTATAAATTTTTTAAGGAAGAGTTGACAAAACTCATTTGAATTTATGTGTCATTTAATCTTTTAACAGTAAGGATGTATTTCAAACCCAGGGCCTGAGGTATAACACATGTAAGATATTGCTAAGGTTTCAAAATAGTTAAATTTCAACAGTGCTTTAGTCAAAATTACGTCAGTGAATTTTGTTACCCCCTCTCCCCCTCCCCTCACACCCACGTAACTATGTTTTCATGTGAGGGACTTGTACTGCGTGCTGTTTTCAAATATAATGCACTGATACACTGGAATTTATTGCAGATAGTAAATCTTACCATAGTTTAACCTTTGGAAGCTTTATTTCATGGGAATAACTCCGTTCTATTACATTATATAGTGATGTAATGGAACTTTTCGTGACTTTTAAATGTTAGATTTATACGAGGCTCAGACATGCCAAGAGACTATACTGATAACTCATTTGACATGTTGATATCCAATTGGTTAATTGTTTTAGGTAGTGGGGTTTGATTGGTTCATTTTAAATATCTGATTGGTTAATTTGTCAGGATCAGGCTAATTTGATTGGTTAATTTGTCTTAATAGCCACATTTGATTGGCTAATTTGCCTGGATAGCCATGCCAACCGAGAGGTGACGTGAATTTGACAGGAACAAGATGGGACAGCTTTAAATTCTGATGCATGTGGTTGGCATCTCTCAACCTGTCAGTGCTAACCTAACTGGTGACACAGACATTAAGGGGTAAGGTGATCGCCTGGCAGATCCTCTCTATAATACACACACTCTCTGTTGAAATGTATCATATTTAGATAAAAAATGTCTTTTTCTGTTATGTCACCCTTTCTAACCTAAATTCATCATTAATGATACTATCTCTGTATCCCTGGTATTTCTCTAAGAATTTGTGTAGACACAAACACACGTAGCCGTGAAGGGGTGAATGTTCCTTTACTACCATAACTAGTATAATAGGTGCACCTGCTACTATAAGCAAAATATCACCGTTTACTGGGAAAGAAGATAGGTCTACTTCATCAAAGGCTGGTAATTCAAGTGAGCTTTGATTTGACTGAGCTATCATGACTAGCCATGAAATATCATAGCTGACATTTTGAAATTGATTTTAAATTCAAATATGGTTTTCATCTCACTCAGTTTCAAGTCTAAACATACTTACTGTGAAAATTTCCTAGTAAAAAATACCCTTGTATTAGTAATGTTTGATTTTGTGACAATTTGAAAATTTCCATGAGATTTCCGGTGGGTAGCAATGTTGGACGAGGAAACTTTTTGTTTATATCATTTATCTAAATGTTCTGTAGGCTGATGTGTTTTCAGTTTCTGTTTTGCTATTAATTCACCTGTCAATATCACATATAATTACATGTAAATAAAATGAGAGAAAAGATCCTGTTTATAAAGAATAAAGGTCATACAATGGTGAGATTCATTATCTCTCTTGAGATCTCATTTCAAAATCTGTTTAATCCTTTTTTGAAAATTGACCCTTTTCCTGCAGAATAAATAGATTTGGGTTTTCAAAAACTGATAAAACAATCCTGAAATTTATTTTGTTTGATATTTTGCCCACTTTAGACCAAGGGTTTTTATTTCATAAAACAGCCCCTGAAGAGAAAATGTGTGGGAAAATATAAAAAATCAAAACAACAATTTAGATGCAGATTGTAAGAAACCTGCCAAGCGTTGGGCACCATATTTGTCAACAAGCTATTAACTCCATAGTGATTGATGTCAGAAGTTGATTTTGAAACCAGATTTGGACAGATTGTGTGCTAACAGACACGTCACAAGCTTCCACTAACAGGTAATACCTGTCTAAAGTTCAATCTACCTGTACAGGTAGAAAATAGGTAACATGTGTAAGGTGCCAGTGTCACACAGGTATGTCGTTCTCCACTACATGACAGATTCATTCATTCGGGTGGGAACCATATATTGTACTATAGTCTCCGATTTATTTGTTAGCTTTATGCATTAACATTTACCTTTGATAAGTTTCCTTTGTTCTTTAATGTAACACTAATACTTCTTACTTTGAAAATATGTTTTTGACAGCAATGGCCTTGACCTTTATTTAGATTTGTCCTCAATAATTATTATACGATTAGGGTTGTTTCTGTAATTGAGATTTTATTCCACAAACTTTCAAGCCAATGTTTATTTTTTTTAAAGTTTCTGAAATTTTCAGTTAGCTCTGTAATAAGTAATACATAGATTTAGTTATCAGTTTTTTTAATATTTAAATTAGTTTTTTCTGTTCTCTAGAAAAGTCTCAATAATAAATCTAAAATTTTAGGATGTTTAATTCCTTTAAAACATTTGGAAGCTAACAAAACATAATTAGCTTAATTAAAAACGGTATTCACAAGTGTTGACACAGATTGTACTCCAGTTATATTGGACGCCCCCTGATAAAAAGATATATAAACTATATTATTGTTGTCATTTTTGAAAATATTTTACTCTTTGTTTATGTGAACGGTTTGAAATTAGCTGTAAATGGCTGAGAAGATTGACAGCTGACAGAAATTTTGTATTCAGTAAAAAACTGACACCTGACACCGAGCGACCTTTAATGATGACCTTGCACTTAATACGTCTTGTACTCACGGGACTTGACAAGTACACAATAGTATCAGCGGCGGGTAAAATCTCTCGGCTCTAGTTACCGACGGTTACCACAGAGTAGGAGGAGCATAAAGGGGGACAACCCCTCTATTTGTATAGACTCGATCCATCAGGCATGTAGTGCAAAGAATCAATGCTATTATTAACAACGATTATGTTTTCAAAATTGAATTTTGATACATCATTAGTTTCAATTAGTTCCTGTAGGAGATTAGGATATTGATGTGTGCTAATACACATCAGACAAGGATTGGAGGAAGGTGTGGATGGCCTGGGTTAGGAGATGTATCGTTGTAGGGTTTTATTTGATTGTTACACATCAGTGTACACTAGACACATGGATACTGATTTCTGATCTGATACTACAAGGGTGGCTTTTACACTACACACCCTGACTGTTGGTCTGGCAGGCCTATAGATCCCTATTGGTCATCAGGCGGGGGTTCCTTTGTTATCCTATCACAAATTTAACGTGGTGCTCAGTCATTTTACTATTTCTCTGATAACTTAAGGGTCACTGCATCTGTTGTTCATCGATCATCAAAACAAAACATAATCCTGAATCCTGTACATTCTTATCTCTATCTTCATATCTGCCAGTGTATATTTCCTAATTGGTAGAGAAATTTTGAAACAGGAATATTGAGTTGAATAAAGAAATGTATTTTAGATAATTCATTTTTATAAGGTTTTATCAATGTTCTGTTGTGATCTTGATTCTTGGATTTGTTTAAATAATGATTTTGTTTTGTCTCTTTTTCTTTTATTTTATTAACAAATTTTAAAGTAAATATGTGAATCAGCTTTCCTGCATCATTTCTAAATTAAGTACATATATCTTGTTTTTTTAGTATGGTGTATAGTAATAAAATTTGTTGCGTTGTTTGTACTTTGTTAGTCAGTCTTAACTATGTAACAATATTACCTTTCTAGAAGAACTCTTTTCTTTGGGTTGTTTGGACGATTTTGGTCTTATGCTTCACATAAACACTTTTCTCGAGTCAACCAATCTGAAAACATGAAAATCAAAAATTGTATGAAATGAAAAAACAATTCATTGAATTAAGTTAAATCTGGTATGTTTTTTCCAGCTGAAACTGAAAGACAATAGAGATTCATAAAATATGTGCTGAAAATTGGAAGGAAAGGGAGATAATTGGATTATCTCTAAGGGGATTATATCCCCTTTAATTATCTCCCTTTACCCAACAGCTTTCCTCAATTAATTAGGGTACTTAATATGATAGTTTCACATAACAGTAGACAGATTTTAACTGAATTTATATTATTACTTTGAAAAATTCAGTCTTGGAAATCTTTCTTTGTAAAAATGATTCATAACCTGAAAGTTTTGTGTGATAAAGGACATATGACATTTCTGATGTAACAATAAGGCATGTATTCTTCATACCACTTTTACATTCTAAAACCAAGCTAAAATTTAAGTGGTGACAGATATTACCAGTTAGTCACATGTATTTTCAAACCAGCTGCAGGGTTCAGAATATTTGTCAGTGTTTGAATTCCAGTTTGTTGGTAGGCGTGGGTTAGAACCATGTGGTGTACATGACATTATTGGAACCAGATTAAGTAGGGGTGAAAGAGTTGCATTTAACAACGTGTCAAGCGTTTGAAGTATCTCTGAGATATTCAGATGCTTCAGTAAATTATATGTAAGGCAATTATTATGGATGCCTAGATTTATCATACCGATAATTAGTCAGAGGTAATGCAATTAAATTTAACTGATACAAATCAGGTACGTTTATGGTACAGCCAGATTTCTGGAGTAGATCACATTGTTCATAATGATCCGATTCTTCTTCTCTTTCAAGGAATCTAATTTCAGTTTAAATACCAGAAATGTGTATATATAAATCAATCCAGTTACTTAATACAGATGAGAACCCGTTGAAAACATTAATGGTAAGACTATTAATTTTCCTTTCAAAAGATTGGCTGTATTAAATTTTACATTGGTTTGGTTCATTGAGATCTTGTCTTTAACGTTTAGTTTAAATAGGTGTTAAAGATATTCAACATTTGTTTTAAGATGGTTAGCTTAAATGTCTTAAATGATTTACTAACAGACAATTATCACTGTTTTTATCATGTATTGATTAATGATAAAAAACAGAGTGCTGTTAAAAGAAATTCTATATTAAGTGTATGGGGCAAGCTAGCAAGGCTCTCTCCGTTAGATGGAAGAGTGGTGTTTTATGGGTAGAAAATCTGTTAAAACCTTATCATGCTGTTACATGTATACTCTACTGCTAGGCGGAGTGTAGGAGGCGGGGCAGTAGCTTTGTCAGGACGAAAACTGTAAATCTTATGAACACAAATTAAATGGCTTGTTAAAATCTACTAATTCTTGTCAGTGGTTTAGTTTTAGTAATGTTGTATCAGTAGAGTTATCTTTCCTGTTTTAAATTCAAACTGTAAATATCTTTCATTAAATTATAATAAAATCTGGTGGAGGGGAAGTTAATTTTAATGATGAAGATGAACACCTAAAAATTGTTTTTGTTTGTAATGAAATGCTCATTGTGTTAGCTTTAATCTTAGGACATTAACTGACCTCTTAATATCTCTTGCCCATATGAAATTTAGTAATTCTGATTTCCTATCTGTAACACAAGTTAAAACGACAGATACTGGAGAAAATTTACAAGTACATAGAGTTAAAGTGGTCTATTTTAAAAGATTCATTATCAATGAGGAAGAAAAGTTAGTTTGTTTCTAAATCACTCGGGTGTACTTCATAGAATATCATAAATGGGTCAGGATAGCTCACATCACACACCTTACTGTGTCAAGGCTACAGGCATGACATTACCTCATTTGCTCTAGTCAATGTGTAATGGTCCTCCCTTATGTTGTTCAGTGTTTTACCTACAAGTTACACACATTCCACACCCAAAGAAATGTCACTGGTAACCATCATTACAATATCATAATTGGGAATTACATTCATAGCTTACATAAATGTCATCTTCATTAGTATGGTAAAAGTGTTATTGAATAAAATTTACATAAAATTAAACAGAAAGCGATCAAAAGTCGGTAAATGAAATAAAAAAAGCAGAACATTCTTGGATCAATTTCTTTGCTCCAGGAGGTTGATTTTGACTGAATCTTTGGATGTACACGTTATGCAAGTAGAAGCATTTGTTACCATTTTCAGTCCCAAATATTACCTGCGCACAATATGTAGGAACGCACATTACACAGGTTTTTACGGTATTATATATAAAGATTTCACTACAACTTCATTAAACATTAAGTCATTTACCAGCAGCAGTATTTAAAGCTACTTATTTCTGTTTATATGTTACCATGGTAATGACTCCATAACCTTTTGTAATTATGATAATAGTTATACACGGATAATGATAGCCTTTCTCGTGTCTGTAGTTATATCTATAACATTGTGAATGAAGGACTCCCTTGCAACTTCATCATATCACACACTGGTCTTGAAGTTTTCAGTTTTTAAAATGCATAAACAAAATAAAGTTGGTTTGAAATATGATCCTTTTGCCAAACTTTTCAAACTTTTGAATTTTTCTCTACTGGAATCTCAATAGAATAAACGTTGGAATTTTGTATTTATCAAGTGATATATATGTGAAATATTAGAATTTCTTTTTATTTTCTTGCTGTAGAGAGAATGAAACAGTAGGCTGATAAATGATGGTAGTTTCAGCCAGGAAACTAAATGTTTTTATGATTTTGTCTGTAAACTTCGTAACAGAAAAAGGTAATCTGTATTTTTATGAAGAAAACTATAAATGTAATTAACTTTCTATTATGTTTAGGTTACTGGTGGATAACTACTAGTGAATGTTTGAATTTCACCAGTTATTCAATTTACCGCAGGTGAATTGTAGTTATTCATCAATAAGGTAAACAAAAAAGGAAATTAATCCTTAAACATAATGTGTTATAATAGTCAGTGATCATTTCTATATACAGATTGACAGATGGTATTTCCTGTACACAGGTGAAACAGACTTATCCCATGAGTTACTGTCCAGACGAAGAACATACCTGGAGGCCAAGGAGTGCTGCAACATGTTGCAGGTGCAAACATGATGGACATGTGAATGTAAGACCTAATTGTTAACTGCTGTACCTACTGTATATATAATAACCTGGACAGGTGACTCAGTGTCCAGCCACACTACAGGCATACCTGACAAATTGTCAGCAATGTTACCACAAATTCACTGAGGACAAACCTTGTAGCTGTAGGTGTTGAAATATCTTTACAAGGCTTACCACAAAGCATCAATAACATCAAATTATTGGGTTTATCAGACTGACATTAAAATGATCAAACTAGAAACTTTGGTTAAAAAGATTGATGTAAAACAATGATTGAGAAGACTCTACAGCATTGTGGAATGGTATATTTAAATCTTGTCTCAGACTTATCTGTATATCTAACATGTTGACTATTCTCTATAGTGGATCTGTTGTATACTGACAAAATATTTAGCTGCTTTCTCTTTAATGGAACTCATTTCTGCAAAGCATCAAGTAAAGGGGAGATAACTCATAATCTCCCTCACTAGGGTAGTCACTCAGACACTAAAGCTAAAAGTGTTGTTGCATCAAGGACAACATTAATAAAAAGAGGAGAGTTCTAAAATCACCTCGTAAAATCATGCAGGGATTTCCTCATAGTAAAAAGTTTGTTTTTTAGTGTTTATAAAGAGTCGGGATAACTGATAGAAATAGCATCTAATAATGTGCAACCATTCCTATCCTGTCCCTTACCTAGGTATTCACTGATGTCTGTTTATTTAAGGATCAAATTTTAGTCCATTTCATGCAGAGGTTAAATATGACAATAACTTGGATCAGTGTACAGTGTATGTTACAGGATTTTAAGGTCAAAGTCAAGGTCACTGTGCTCTCTAGAGAAACATTTTCAGGAAGTTAATGTTTTCCTTTTTTACATTTTTCTTAAGGTTCTAACTGAGTTATAATTCCAGTTTCAACCAATAAAGTGAGATTTTCTGACAAATTTGGAAAACAATCCGACATTTTCATCAGTTCGGGAAAAAAATGCTAAGCTGACATAATTTGGGCAGTGAAAATTTTCTGGTTTTGACAAAATATCACGGAAAACCTATCATCTAGCCATTACTGTTACGATATCAATTACAGCTATTCATGTGACTTAAGTTACACAGGAACAGGATTAATTATAAAATAGGTGTTGTATTTTGTGTTCTATGTTTTTTATGTTACTAGCTGGTATAATTTTCAGTTTGGTGAGGAGGCGTGTCTGTCAAAACAATATATATACCAGTATATAATATTTGGGTTAGTAAGTATCAGGTAAATTTGATCACCTATATCATGTACCATTCGTTAATACCTGTTTGTTAGAAACCTATATTTGTAAGAAAGTATCAGGTGCAATATATTTATAAATTAATTTGATAAATTTTGACACACATTGTCACCAGTAAAGAAATAAAAGGCAATTTTACAAAATATCATAATTTATCAAAATGTTGACTGCAAGTTCAAAAATGAAAGTTGGCCTAGAATATTTGAGGCTGTATATATTAATTCTCTGCTGCATATTCAGATACCACAATACCTGTGTTAATTAATTAATGCTTATTTGTGATGTATTTGAAATGACACATGCAATGTATTAATGATAATATTGTATTAATATTATTCATAGAATGACTGGTAATGATAATATACCAGAGATATATATGTCTATATAGCCTCATAAAACATCACTGTCTTACCTTATCTGTGCTGGGACCTGTCCAGGTAACACCATATACAATTATTCTCTCCCTAAGTAATGATATCAGACACAACCATACCACTATATATGTCAGTTTCCTGTTTAACCTGTTGTCCAGTTTCCTGTGGTCAGTGGTCAGTTTCATGTCCAGTGTCTAGTTAAACCATCAACATGACATGCATGACTATTTACTATCTATGATTTATGGGAAGATGAAGACATCATAGGATGACCTTGTCCAGGTAAATTTTGTTACTAGGGACAAGGTCACCATACTCATTAATAATGGTTTAGGCCAGGTGATGAAGTATCACTAACTGTCTACATCTCTATATATTCTGACAGTTGGCAAAGTTCTCATCTTTTTCTGTTGGATGTTAAACTTCATCCTCGAACATATGTCATTGTGTTTGAATAATTCTGTTTGCATTGTTGAGAAAGACATGAAATTTGAAACTACTGTTATACAAAGGTTTGGGTCCATAGGCACTTTGTCCTATCATTGGTGATACAAATGTCATTAATATCCTGTTAATATCACAAGAGAGACTGTTAATATCACAAGAGAGACTGTTGATATCACAAGACCGAGTATTAATAATACAAGACAAACTGTTAATATCACAATACAGACTGGTAATATCACAAGACCAACTATTAATAATACAAGACAGACTGTTGATGTCACAAGACAGACTGTTAATATCACAATACAGACTGGTAATATTAACAAGACAGACTTAATATCACAAGACAGACTTAATATCACAAGACAGACTGTTAATATCACAAAGACTGATTTTTTATATCACAGTGAGAACTATCAGTATTATAATAACTCATTGTCACCAGCATGTTATAATAACTGTTGTTACTAGGATATCATCATTCTAGTAAAAACAATCAGGTGACCAGGAAGAAATTAATGTATTTGGAGGGTTTGGTGTTAGATATGACTATAGAGTAAAAATATGTCACATTTGATACAATGATTACTAATACTTATTCCTAATATTATAATTAAATTCTGTGAGTAATTAAGACTAGATGGTCAAACTTAATTATAATACTGAGTTTTAACAGATCCTGGTAGATCAAGATTAAGAGAAATTTGTATGGTCGTTCTGTGATTGATAGAATACATATGGTACCTTGGCTCTCTGTTTAAGAACCTGACATTATAGTGGTTCAAACAAGATTAATACAGTGGATGATGTCAATGAACTATATAACAATAGTCCACTGCATGGTTAACAATTTAATCAATGTGGATGTCTTTGCTTTAAAAACAAATACGTGCAGTTTTGCTCAGATTGCTTGTATGTAATGGCCAATTAGGTCTGTATTACATGTTTATACTTAGTAATTTTATATGGGGCATATAGTACTACTTCTCTCTGGCTGTCACGAGAACTTCTCCATATTTACTTCTGCAGAGGATTATATACTAGTGTGAATGTTGTTGGGAGGATAGGGGTTGGTCTTAGAGTCACTTTCTCGTTGAATATGTAGTTGGAAGGAGCCATGAAAAACATCCTGCTAGCACTGTGGTTCGAACTAGAGACCCTTCAGTGTATAGCCGGACTATCTACCGCTCAACTAAATGGAAATTTTCACTTAGAGGATAGAAAGGCAACATGCACTCTGAAATTACACATATATATCGTTTTTAACATGGGCATCTCCCGGTATAGGAGGTGAGAGATCACCTGTACTATAGACTGATATGGGAGGTGAGAGATCACCTGTACTATAGACTGGTATGTGAGGTGACAGATCACCTGTATATAGACTGGTATGGGAGGTGAGAGATCACCTGTATATAGACTGGTACGGGAGGTGAGAGATCACTTGTATATAGATTGGTATGGGAGGTGAGAGATCACCTGTATATAGACTGGTATGGGAGGTGAGAGATCACCTGTATATAGACTGGTACGGGAGGTGAGAGATCACTTGTATATAGATTGGTATGGGAGGTGAGAGATCACCTGTACTATAGACTGGTATGGGAGGTGAGAGATCACCTGTACTATAGACTGGTATGGGAGGTGAGAGATCACCTGTATATAGACTGGTATGGGAGGTGAGAGATCACCTGTATATAGACTGGTATGGGAGGTGAGAGATCACCTGTATATAGACTGGTATGGGAGGAGAGAGATCACCAGTAAAAAATACAGTAAAGGAATGTAATAGAAAACAGTAATATAGACTGGTATGGGAGGTGAGAGATCACCTGTATATAGACTGGTATGGGAGGTGAGAGATCACCTGTATATAGACTGGTATGGGAGGTGAGAGATCACCTGTATATAGACTGGTATGGGAGGTGAGAGATCACCTATAGACTGGTATGGGAGGTGAGAGATCACCTGTATATAGACTGGTATGGGAGGTGAGAGATCACCTGTATATAGACTGGTATGTATATAGACTGGTATGGGAGGTGAGAGATCACCTGTATATAGACTGGTATGGGAGGTGAGAGATCACCTGTACTATAGACTGGTATGGGAGGTGAGAGATCACCTGTATATAGACTGGTATGGGAGGTGAGAGATCACCTGTATATAGACTGGTATGGGAGGTGAGAGATCACCTGTATATAGACTGGTATGGGAGGTGAGAGATCACCTGTATATAGACTGGTATGGGAGGTGAGAGATCACCTGTACTATAGACTGGTATGGGAGGTGAGAGATCACCTGTATATAGACTGGTATGGGAGGTGAGAGATCACCTGTACTATAGACTGGTATGGGAGGTGAGAGATCACCTGTATATAGACTGGTATGGGAGGTGAGAGATCACCTGTACTATAGACTGGTATGGGAGGTGAGAGATCACCTGTACTATAGACTGGTATGGGAGGTGAGAGATCACCTGTACTATAGACTGGTATGGGAGGTATGCTGTGTACATTAGGTGACAGGTTCCCCTCCTTTAACACAATCAAAAAAATTTACCAGGTAAACATTCCACCATTGTGAACCATTACAACACACATAAGATAAAAAACATAACCTGTTCCTTAATCAATAGTTCAACCAGGGACACTTACTTACAGTGAAGTCACAGGGATTTTAATATATATCAAAACCTCCTTATCTAGTCCAATATATTTGTCTGCAATGTAAAATATCATAATGATATACCATAAATGCCAGTAATCTATACAGTGAAAGGTTCAGGTATGTAGTGATTTCTCTCCAGCTTCCACACTTTTACTACAGACTACTATATAAAACAAACAAATAAATAACAACATCAAATACCTGGAGTATTAGATATATATCTGTAGAAAAATCTTACAAAAAAGTTCTGTTATCCTATCACTGTCATAACAGTCATGGCACAGGAGAAAACTGTTAGTCTCCATCATTGGAAGGTAGAAGGAAAGATTAAAAAGTATTCAGGTATTAAAAACACAATGTCCCAATGCTGTATCTTTGAAAAATCAGATGCATATTAATTTTCACACATGCTTGTGTAATGAACTGATATATTGAAGAATTCCAGCCATTAGACTTCATCCCCATACCCATTCTCTATCCGCATCCCCATCCCAATCCTCTGTCATCATCACCATCCCCATCTACTGTCCTCATCATCATCCCCATCCACTATCCGCATCCCCATCCCCATCCTCTGTCATCATCACCATCCCCATCTACTGTCCTCATCATCATCCCCATCTACTGTCCGCATCCCCATCCCCATCCTCTGTCATCATCACCATCCCCATCTACTGTCCTCATCATCATCCCCATCAACTGTCCGCATCCCCATCCCCATCCTCTGTCATCATCACCATCCCCATCTACTGTCCTCATCATCATCCCCATCAACTGTCCGCATCCCCATCCCCATCCTCTGTCATCATCACCATCCCCATCTACTGTCCTCATCATCATCCCCATCTACTGTCCTCATCATCATCCCCATCAACTGTCCGCATCCCCATCCCCATCCTCATCACCATTCCCATCCTCTGTCCTCATCACCATCCCCATCCACTGTCCTCATCACCATCCCCCTCCTCTGTCATCATCACCATCCCCATCTACTGTCCTCATCATCATCCCCATCCTCTATCCGCATCCCCATCCCCATCCTCTGTCCTCATCACCATCCCAATCCACTGTCCGCATCCCCATCCCCATCCTCTGTCATCATCACCATCCCCATCCACTGCCCTCATCATCATCCCCATCCACTATCCGCATCCCCATCCCCATCCACTGTCCTTATCACCATCCCCATCCTCTGTCTTCATCACCATCCCCATCCACTGTCCTCATCACCATCCCCATCCTCTGTCCTCATCACCATCCCCATCCACTGTCCTCATCACCATCCCCTACCACTGTCCTCATCATCATCCCCATCCACTGTCCTCATCACCATCCCCATCCTCTGTCCTCATCACCATCCCCATCCACTGTCCTCATCACCATCCCCATCCACTGTCCTCATCACCATCCCCCGCCACTGTCCTCATCACCATCTCCGTCCACTGTCCTCATCACCATCCCCATCCTCTGTCCTCATCACCATCCCCATCCACTGTCCTCATCACCATCCCCATCCTCTGTCCTCATCACCATCCCCATCAACTGTCCTCATCACCATCCTCATCCTCTATCCTCATCACCATCCCCATCCACTGTCCTCATCACCATCCCCATCCACTGTCCTCATCACCATCCCCATCCTCTGTCCTCATCACCATCCCCATCCACTATCCGCATCCCCATCCCCATCCTCTGTCATCATCACCATCCCCATCCTCTGTTCTCATCATCATCCCCATCCACTATCCGCATCCCCATCCACTGTCCTCATCACCATCCCCCTCCTCTGTCCTCATCACCATCCCCATTCTCTGTCCTCATCAACATCCCCATCCTCTGTCCTCATCACCATCCCCATCCACTGTCCTCATCACCATCCCCATCCTCTGTCCTCATCACCATCCCCATCCACTGTCCTCATCCCCATCCCCATCCTCTGTCCTCATCACCATCCCCATCCACTGTCCTCATCATCATCCCCATCCACTGCCCTCATCACCATCCCCGCCACTGTCCTCATCACCATCCCCATCCTCTGTCCTCATCACCATCCCCATCCACTATCCGCATCCCCATCCCCATCCTCTGTCATCATCACCATCCCCATCCTCTGTTCTCATCATCATCCCCATCCACTATCCGCATCCCCATCCACTGTCCTCATCACCATCCCCATCCTCTGTCCTCATCACCATCCCCATCCGCTGCCCTCATCACCATCCCCCGCCACTGTCCTCATTCCCATCCCCATCCTCTGTCATCATCCCCATCCCCATCCACTATCCGCATCCTCATCACCATCCACAGTCTTCATCATCATCCCCATCCACTGTCTTCATCCTCATCCTCATTCCCTTCCCCTCCCCCCCCCCCCCCCCCCCCCCCCCCTCCCCCCCCCCCCCCCCCCCCCCCCCCGCCACTGTCCTGAGAAAGACCATGCTCTCCTCCGTATATCAGTAAGTAAGATTTTCCATCAGGAAGGTGAAGTAACTTGATCAATTGTTTATAGAAGGTGATCAACTCCTGCTGGTGTTGAATGTGTTATTGATTATCAGTTGTGGTCCTTACATGTACCTGGATATAAACGTTACAGAGGTTCTGAGTACTACAACCAGAAAATGTCTTACACTACCACCAGGGACGCTTCATGGGCTGAAAATTCACTCATCCAAATTCCCTCATCATTTCTACAGACCATTTCACACAACCAATGTCCCTTACTGTTCCTAAAGACACAGACAAAGCCACCCCTTTTCAGACTGAGAGATAATTACCATGGCACACACATTACAGTCTATTACTTCATCGATACTTATAGAAAATTAATATGACATCCCTTGCTCTATTAATATGCATGGATTTTCATTACATGTAAACTTCTAGAAAATTAATATACCACCTCTGACCTGTATCTATGCTTTCATTTCATTTGTACTTCACAAAATCACAGGTGAAATATTCACTTACCTGTACTTTAAACAATTAAGACCAGGATGTAAGTATTCAACTTCTGACTTTGATTCAGTGGGTGGGCTTATTACAGGACAATTATAAAAATACAAAGTTATAAATCTAAATCGAGAGCGGTGATGTAAATTTAGGTGCCTCGATAATCCCTTTGGCCGATATATATATATATAGAGGGCTAATGTTACAGGTACAAAGTACTGGATGGCTTAACAAAAGGGTGTAGAAAAAAAGACATAGGCATCCCCAATTATCACTTAAGATTTTCATATGTACTTGGAGAAAAACCATAATCCATATGAATTGTGTATGAGCTGAGTACATGGGTGATGATTGATGGCAGAATGGAAGAAACAGCTTTTCACAATTCAAAATAAAGTTCTTTTCACTCAATGCCTTGTATACAGCCTTTGTATTTGTAACCTTTCCACTTGCTAAATCTATTCAGTACATGTATAGAAAATCGTGGCAATCAATTTTTTTGTATTTATAACTGTTTTAAAAAACTTTGACACACCACAGCCAATAAAAGTGTCATAACTTTGTCCAATTTTCTTGTTATTAAGTTTCTTTTCTGTTTTCGTCTCTTCTTTTAAAACTTGGACACATTAATCTCGATGTGGTTATATTATAGACGGGCTCGGAACACGAAACTCTCGATAATACACTGCTGACAATTATTGATAAATGAGAGATCACATTCATAGTCGTACCATCAGTGCTAAGAGAAGTGATGACCTGCATGTCACATTTGTTTAACATGTTTGAGAATCTGTGCAGTATGAAGGGGATAACCTTTCTAAACCGCCTCCATTCCAGACAAATTAAAACTTTATTAAGTTTGAAATCAAGTTCATGTATCCATTTATTAACAGGCGGATTCACAGCGTTGGATTTAATGTCTGTAGAGCTACAAGGATTTGGATTTTCTAAATGAAAAAGGAGTTATTGAAAATATTTAAATTCAACATTTAGATTTAAATAAAAAAGACAGAAAATTGATTCTTAATTAAATGAAATGAATTCACACCATTGTGGTTTTGACTGCATGTATCAATTTAACCAGAAATAAATGTTTGTGCTAACCTTGAACAGACAAATTATATTTATAAATTATGATAATAAGATAAAAATGTTACAAACTTAGCACTACTGACACAATGAATGACAATATTGTAAAATTAACACTTTTTAATTTTCTTAAAAAAGAAACAAGAAAGAAAAAGTAAGCAATTTTAAGATTAGTAATACCTATATCTGTACAGGTGTAGTTAACCACTAAGACAGGTACGATGGTTGTCATTCTCATGATGTACAAGACTGACACCTGTCAGATCTCGTACTCATCAGATGGACTGTCCTACATATGTCAGAAATTGTCGAGTTTACAAAATTTTATTAAATGTACGCAAAATGAAAATTTAACATCAGTGAAATATTAATTTACACAACCAAGCTTCTTTCTGGTTGTAGTTTTCAAGATTAAGATAAAAAGTTGTCTTGATATGTGATGCAGAATTCATGTACAAGCTGAAACTTTGAATTTTTAGGATTTGTTGTAAAAAAATTGACATGATTTCACGAGATTTTATAACTATGTTTATTAACAGTTAAAATTCCTCATTGCTTGGAACAACCTCAATGAAATCTCCAAAGATATTTTTTTTATAGGTATTTAACTGATATTTTTATCATCTAGCTGTCTGTAAATGTTTCTCAATGTTAATGAAGGAGAACAAATGTATGACTATATGAAGAAAACAGTATTACAGGTCAGTATCTTAATTACTGTGACAGGAAATTAGTTTTAAGTGTGATTAGTTTAATTCATTGTTTATGTATCAAACACAGATTGTTATGCCTATATAAACCTATATCTAGAGGTTTTAAGGAGACTATTTAGTTTCCTGCTCCGCTAAATCCTGCCAGGAAGTGTTGAATGTTATTTCTGACTGATATGTCATGAAAAAAGTTGTTGAGGCACCTGTGTCTGTTTCCTGTTTGGGTGTGTTTAGGGGTTGGGTCAGGAGGTGAGGTGGCCCCTGTAGGGTAGTTATTGCAGGCTCATTACCTCACTGTTATCAGACAGACTGATAATATACTGACACTTCACTCTAGTCAACTGTACGGCCTGCCATACTCATCAAGTTTCCTCTCCCTTCAGGTTTTCCTTAATTAGGACAGGTGAACATTATTTTACCTTAATTACAACTTAATCTGATTGGCCATCTTGACAGTTTCAAAGATTTTGTGTAGTAACACTTCAGTATAAAGTATAGGATGTCAGGACATCAAATAGTCTGACATCAGTATAAAGTGTAGAATGTCAGGACATCAAATAGTCTGACATCAGTATAAATAACAGGATGTCGGGACATCAAATAGTCTGACATCAGTATGAATAACAGGATGTAGGGACATCAAATAGTCTGACATCAGTATAAATAACAGGATATCAGGACATCAAATAGTCTGACATCAGTATAAATAACAGGATGTCAGGACATCAAATAGTCTGACATCAGTATAAATAACAGGATGTCGGGACATCAAATAGTCTGACATCAGTATAAATAACAGGATGTCAGGACATCAAATAGTCTGACATCAGTATAAATAACAGGATGTCGGGACATCAAATAGTCTGACATCATTATAAATAACAGGATGTCGGGACATCAAGTAGTCTGACATCAGTATAAATAACAGGATGTCGGGACATCAAATAGTCTGACATCAATATAAATAACAGGATGTCGGGACATCAAATAGTCTGACATCAATATAAATAACAGGATGTCGGGACATCAAATAGTCTGACATCAGTATAAATAACAGGATGTCAGGACATCAAATAGTCTGACATCAGTATAAATAACAGGATGTCGGGACATCAAATAGTCTGACATCAGTATAAATAACAGGATGTCAGGACATCAAATAGTCTGACATCAGTATAAATAACAGGATGTCGGGACATCAAATAGTCTGACATCAGTATAAATAACAGGATGTCAGGACATCAAATATTCTGACATCAGTATAAATAACAGGATGTCGGGACATCAAATAGTCTGACATCAGTATAAATAACAGGATGTCAGGACATCAAATAGTCTGACATCAGTATGAAATGTCTACGTTATTAAGTGTATACTACACAGGACATATACCTTGGGTATCTACAAATATTTTCACTTATTAGATTTAATTCTATAATCTTTTCTGACTTTTCTCCCTAAATGCCAACTTGACTTGTTATAACATGCAGACTTGATATTACATACAGATATTCATTAAGTCAACAAAAATGCCACTAGTAAACACTAGTAATCAAACAGTCTTCTAATGATGTGTGGAATATACCGAGATTATATCCCATATTTCCTGATGTTTAAATTAATTTTTGTACAAAATTGACCAGTTAACATAATTTTATTTCAAAAATGATTTTAAAAATATCAGGATTTGGACAAATTTTGAATTTAACAGCTTAGTATATTTCCAACATCAAATTTAGGATTAATCAATCTTATTATTGTTGACCTTGAGCTAATTATCGAGTTTAATGATATTTGTATACTTACTTGTACTGCTGGGTATTGTCATCTGTTTAAATCCATGAAGACACACAATTTTATAAGATTTATGAACATCTAGAAAATATCCCACAAATTTGTCACTGTTGAACTGTTAATATGTATTCATCAATATGAAGAGATTTGGCCGTGAGTATAACCAGAACACAAGCTAGGTTTACTGCCCAAGATTTGGTAGGACCCTTATCAGAGTACTGCAGTGAGCTGCAGTATCTGTTAACCCTAGACAGAAGTACTCCCAAGTCATGTGAAATATCAAATGGTTCATTCAACTGTCCACTTTTTTATATGAATTCTTTAAATTAAATATTTTTTTCCACACTGATTTTCTTCTTTTTTAATATCTGAAGATATGATGTTCAGTAAAATATGTTTACAAGATAATGTTTTAAAATATACTCACAAGTAATTTGAATTTAAGATTTGCACATTCCTGGTAGTATATATTCCATGGTTACATTCCCTTACTAAATGTTGACAGTGTTTTGGACTCCACATTCTCCTGATGTGAAGTAATCTGTCACTTCCTTTCCTGATACATTCCAAGAGGTCCACATCTGTCAGGTGATTACTTTCCAGGTATATTTTTTATACCTGATGTACACTGATGATTCTGATCTGAAAGGTTTTTACCTGGTGTACACACCTAGGCGACCTGTGAAGAACTGAGTTGTCTGTATACACCATGTGGTCATAGTCTCCTCCCTCCATCTCCTCCCTCCATAGTACACTGATTCAGAGCCTGCACTCTGATACACTTAACCAGGAGGACTACATCAGCCTGTAGCTTCACCTCCTAGTCAACTTGACAGGTCGCAGTTTAAAAACAACATATTTTTCTGAGAGATGAACCGTAGTAAGTGTTCATATTTTGTGATCAATTTGAATTCAAACAATTTGATTTCCATGGTGAGACCTGATGGCAGACATTAACAAGCCAGGATGTTTGGCGCCGTGTACCTTTTGCCACTAAGTTGTTATTCTTAATGTATGAATATGAAATAATACACCACTGATATGTTCTTGAAATTTAATTACTTCCTGTAAGAATTTAAATTTACAATTTTAATAGAATTCTGTCTTTGTGAAGAAGATTTAAGGAAAATGGTTAAACAGTTTAGTTATACAGGATTGTGAATCTGGTTTTGTTTGTAAGATGACAAAACTTTGATTTTGAGGACTGCTACAGACCTGCCATGCTGTCATGGCCAAATTGACCATGAGATAAGCTTATCTATCATCAGATTAGGGGAGAGAAAACACCACCCTAATGACTGCATGTTTATGGACTAGGGGCCACCGCATGTGTTTTGTTAATGACTGAGGGCTGGTGGGGAAGGGAGGGATTCTTTCAGGATGTAGGGAGGGGTTGATATTTTGTAAAGAGAGAGAGAAAGTGGAAAGGACATATGTATTCTGGACAGAAAGGGCCAAATTTCTCTATCACAAGAATTGGAAATCTTATTAGAAGCAGCTTTGTCAAGAAGTTACTTTTAATAAATACAGGAAATTAATCATGATGTTTTGATTAACAGCACTCTATAAAGATAGCAGAAACATACATTTATCTTGTTCTAATGATATTCTAGGTAATTAAAGCATCTTTCCACATCAACCAATAAATAGTTAATCCAACTACCCTCCTCCTCAGTAGATAATCCAACTACCCTCCTTCTCAGTAGATAATCCATCTACCCTCCTCAGTAGATAATCCAACTACCCTCCTCAGTAGATAATCCAACTACCCTCCTCAGTAGATAATCCAACTACCCTCCTCCTCAGTAGATAATCCATCTACCCTCCTCCTCAGTAGATAATCCAACTACCCTCCTCCTCAGTAGATAATCCAACTATCCTCCTCCTCAGTAGATAATCCAACTACTCCTCCTCAGTAGATAATCCAACTACCCTCCTCCTCAGTAGATAATCCAACTACCCTCCTCAGTAGATAATCCATCTACCCTCCTTCTCAGTAGATAATCCAACTACCCTCCTTCTCAGTAGATAATCCAACTACCCTCCTTCTCAGTAGATAATCCAACTACCCTCCTTCTCAGTAGATAATCCAACTACCCTCCTTCTCAGTAGATAATCCAACTACCCTCCTTCTCAGTAGATAATCCAACTACCCTCCTTCTCAGTAGATAATCCAACTACCCTCCTTCTCAGTAGATAATCCAACTACCCTACTCAGTAGATAATCCAACTACCCTCCTTCTCAGTAGATAATCCAACTACCCTCCTTCTCAGTAGATAATCCAACTACCCTCCTTCTCAGTAGATAATCCAACTACCCTCCTTCTCAGTAGATAATCCAACTACCCTCCTCCTCAGTAGATAATCCAACTACCCTCCTCAGTAGATAATCCAACTACCCTCCTTCTCAGTAGATAATCCAACTACCCTCCTTCTCAGTAGATAATCCAACTACAGTAGATAATCCAACTACCCTCCTTCTCAGTAGATAATCCAACTACCCTCCTTCTCAGTAGATAATCCAACTACCCTCCTCCTCAGTAGATAATCCAACTACCCTCCTTCTCAGTAGATAATCCAACTACCCTCCTTCTCAGTAGATAATCCAACTACCCTCCTTCTCAGTAGATAATCCAACTACCCTCCTTCTCAGTAGATAATCCAACTACCCTCCTTCTCAGTAGATAATCCAACTACCCTCCTCAGTAGATAATCCAACTACCCTCCTTCTCAGTAGATAATCCAACTACCCTCCTTCTCAGTAGATAATCCAACTACCCTCCTTCTCAGTAGATAATCCAACTACCCTCCTCAGTAGATAATCCAACTACCCTCCTCAGTAGATAATCTCAGTAGATAATCCATCTACCCTCCTCAGTAGATAATCCATCTACCCTCCTCAGTAGATAATCCAACTACCCTCCTTCTCAGTAGATAATCCAACTACCCTCCTTCTCAGTAGATAATCCAACTACCCTCCTTCTCAGTAGATAATCCAACTACCCTCCTTCTCAGTAGATAATCCAACTACCCTCCTTCTCAGTAGATAATCCAACTACCCTCCTTCTCAGTAGATAATCCAACTACCCTCCTTCTCAGTAGATAATCCAACTACCCTCCTTCTCAGTAGATAATCCAACTACCCTCCTTCTCAGTAGATAATCCAACTACCCTCCTTCTCAGTAGATAATCCAACTACCCTCCTTCTCAGTAGATAATCCAACTACCCTCCTTCTCAGTAGATAATCCAACTACCCTCCTTCTCAGTAGATAATCCATCTACCCTCCTTCTCAGTAGATAATCCAACTACCCTCCTTCTCAGTAGATAATCCATCTACCCTCCTTCTCAGTAGATAATCCAACTCCTTCCTCAGTAGATAATCCACCAACTACCCTCCTCCCAACTACCCTCCTCTCAGTAGATAATCCAACTACCCTCCCAACTTCTCACCCTCCTTCTCAGTAGATAATCCAACTACCTCCTTCTCAGTAGATAATCTCCTTCTCAGTAGATAATCCAACTACCCTCCTTCTCAGTAGATAATCCAACTACCCTCCTTCTCAGTAGATAATCCAACTACCCTCCTTCTCAGTAGATAATCCAACTACCCTCCTTCTCAGTAGATAATCCAACTACCCTCCTTCTCAGTAGATAATCCAACTACCCTCCTTCTCAGTAGATAATCCAACTACCCTCCTTCTCAGTAGATAATCCAACTACCCTCCTTCTCAGTAGATAATCCAACTACCCTCCTTCTCAGTAGATAATCCAACTACCCTCCTTCTCAGAAGATAATCAGACTACCCTCCTCAGAAGAAAATCCAACTACCCTCCTGCTCAGTAGATAATCCAACTACCCTCCTTCTCAGTAGATAATCCAACTACCCTCCTCAGTAGATAATCCAACTACCCTCCTTCTCAGTAGATAATCCAACTACCCTCCTTCTCAGTAGATAATCCAACTACCCTCCTTCTCAGTAGATAATCCATCTACCCTCCTCAGTAGATAATCCAACTAGTAGATAATCCAACTACCCTCCTCCTCAGTAGATAATCCAGTAGATAATCTACCCTCCTTCTCAGTAGATAATCCAACTACCCTCCTGATAAACAGTAGATAATCCAACTACCCTCCTTCTCAGTAGATAATCCAACTACCCTCCTTCTCAGTAGATAATCCAACTACCCTCCTTCTCAGTAGATAATCCAACTACCCTCCTTCTCAGTAGATAATCCAACTACCCTCCTTTCCAGTAGATAATCCAACTACCCTCCTTCTCAGTAGATAATCCAACTGGCCACCTTCTCAGTAGTTAATCCAACTGGCCACCTTCTCAGTAGATAATCCATCTACCCTCCTTCTCAGTAGATAATCCAACTATTGTCCTTCTTAGTAGTAATCAAACTATGGATTAGTGGTGACTGGATTATTGTACAAATAGATTAGTGGTGACTGGATTGTTGGACAAATAGATAAGTGGTGACTGGATTGTTGGACAAATAGATTAGTGGTGAATGAATTGTTGGACAAATAGATTAGCGGTGAATGAATTGTTGGACAAATAGATTAGTGGTGAATAAATTGTTGGACAAATAGATTAGTGGTGAATGAATTGTTGGACAAATAAATTAGTGGTGACTGGATTGTTGGAAAAGTAGATTAGTGGTGAATGAGTTGTTGGACAAATAGATTAGTGGTGAATGAATTGTTGGACAAATAGATTAGAAGTGACTGGAAACAAATAGATTAGTGGTGAATGAGTTGTTGGACAAATAGATTAGTGGTGAATGAATTGTTGGACAAATAGATTAGAAGTGACTTGATTGTTGGACAAATAGATTAGTGGTGACTGGATTGTTGGACAAATAGATTAGAGGTGACTGGATTGTTGGACAAATAGATTAGTGGTGACTGGATTTTCAGAACATATATTATTTAAGGTATGGCCTCATTAGAACTTTTATTCTGTTTTATAAATCAGTTATTGTCTTTAATTTCTATCTGTTTAAGATTTCCTTCCAGCCTTTATTGCCTTAAATACTGATGTAGAGGGACTTGTACGCATGTACACTTAGTGTTTACTGTAACAAGCCTATAGGAAAATGTATAAATGCCAGAACTTGTTTGTAGTATTGTTTACATTAAAGTTTGTAGCATGGCTTGATGGACATAACTAGTATTAATTCCTCTAACACCGATGAAAAACCTCATAATTTTGTCATCCACCTGGTTAATGTCTAAATCCATGTTTTCTGAATTTCAAATTAATGTTAACATCAATCACTTTATCTGTTTGTAAATTAATAATAATTAATTTTTGAATAGTTTATCGTTTCAAGTAGGTGACTAGGATTAGTAAGACACATGACCAAATTGCCCAATGTTGCTAAAGATAAATGAAGGCCCTCAAGGCTGTCACAACCAATTACATGTGTGTCTTAACAGAAAATACAGAGCCTGGTGATAAACGTTTATATCAAATCAGACTGACAGGGTTAAAATTCACTAAAAGAGTGGCACACATAACTAGCTCAGACATTTTGTTGAAATGATTTTATCAAGAATTAACTATTTTCACAGTTATCAAATGTTCTGTATGTATACCTGTAGTTTATACAAAGTTCTACCTCAAGTTTGTATTGAGC